GTTACAATGTAGTTTGGCATTTCTTATAGTTGATAAATCTAAAGCATATATATCAATTTTAGTGCAGGTTAAAAGAGTGAAGGCCTAGACACTTGCACTTTGCTGAAGGGGAAGATCAGCTCAGCTGGTCTGGAACTCTCATTCCTCCATGTAAAAGAACTCACAGGACAACATCCAACATGCAGTAGCATTTTCTCTCATAGTGTTTATAAATGTAGCCCTTCTATTACCAGCAAGAGTGGTAATATCATTTCATGTTGACATTTGACTATAGGTTTCTTTAAAGTAAAACTGTGGCCAGACAAAGGCAGTTAATGCGTTTAAAAAAAGAAGCCCTCACCGACCTTTGTAGCTTCAGACACTGTGAAGAAATGCATTCTTACAACAGGCACTGAAATCACAACTCAACTCCACATACTTCCTCAGGATCCTGCCAGCCTTCCAATGAAACAAACAGAAGGTGCTGTAAGTTGTTCAGAAACTGACTGCAACCAGAATTTAGAATCTGTATTACGGTCTTTGAGATGTAATGGCTCCATAATGCCTGCAGATACACAGATCTGGGAGAACTGGTTATACAGCTCATATTGTGAACATATGTATAGTCATTGCCAACAGCCTGCCCACAGGTTTAATTAAAAGTGAAGGATCAACCTAGAATTAATCAATGAACATTAAACAGCCATATAACGCACATGCCTTGGTAAATGCATAGCAAAATGTTTGAGTTCTGTCTGCGCTTTGGTTGTCCAGCAATCAGCATTGGCAGTTTTCTGGACAACCTGAGCGCCGACAAAAATCAAACATGAGGCTATGCATTTTTCAAGGTACGTGTGCTATATGACTGTTTAATGTTCATCGAGTAATTCCAGAGTAAGCTTCCACTTTAAGAAGCCATGTAGTTCAAGTATATGATACTTGCAACTAAACAAACATTTAGTGGGAACTGATCATTCTATTAGGGTAACAGTCATCCACTATGGACCAGCTAGACCCTAAACCCCTCTTCCCACTCACATCTGCCATTAGCTACAAATAGGTGTCTACCTGCTGAGCAAACGGTGCAGGATTATATTAACTATTTTGCAGTATACCCCAAAACCATTTTTTTATCCTACAGTAGGAGTTACCAATATGCCTTTTATTAACCATGCAAATAGGTGATCACCTTAGTAATTTGAAATGTCCTCCTATGTTGCGTGACCATGAGGCTCAGCATTAGAGTATGACAACCAGCAGAACACTTTACAGGAACCAAAGACATAATTAAAGAAATAGTCCATCCAAAGCTAACATTTTAGCTTTGGTACATGCTGGAGAGTTAGGCCACATTTCTTATTACATCTCTAAGGAATTAGGGAATATTGGTGCTACCTTTATTGAATTGCTGGGTCTGCACACCTGCTCTGATCCTTATGATGGGGTCCTATTCCCAATGTAGACAGGAAAAGAGTCAGTATCTATCGCAGGAGAGCGTGTTGTTGGAGTATTTGAGATATAGATGAAACCAGGGTCTGGCTCAGTGCACAAGGCTTTACCTATAACTATAATATACGTTTTTAGAGGACTCGGCCTTTAATACCAATGGTAAGTACCTTAACAGTTCATTATTTTAAACAGAGCTTTCTCTGCTGACAACTTAATGCGAATATGGAAATTGAGTTATGCTTCACCAACCAGGGAGATGCCAGGACAGGTTTTGAAGGATTGAGGATGGAAATTCCTCAAATTACCTGTTGATTTAAATGAAATTGCCTATCTGTAACCCCGTTTACTCATTAAATCCCACCATCATTACATTTTCAAGGCTAAACAGAGTTCTTTAATAAATCTCCAGAAATGTATTATGAACATGTCACTCTTTTGGGAATATGTGCATAACACATATCTGGTGATTTATTTAAAAAAAACTCTACTGAACTCAATAATGTGTTGACCTGTTTCCAGTCTTCTGACAGGTCAAAACATATTGAGGTTAGTAGACAATTGTCAATCCAAAACCATTGCAGACACAATGGTTGATACATCATACAGGCACTGTCTGCCTTTTATTTTAAATGATTTTCCTCTCTACCCTATGCTACGAGCTACCTTAAACGTTCAAATCGCCTCCATTATGTTTTTGAGGCTTACAATTTATGCATCTGAACATTCAACATAATTCTTAATCTCTGTGGTCACATAAATTCAGACGGGCCAACAAATCCCATGGCAGAAAGAAATAAACTTTTTTTGCTTAATGGGCAAATGGGACTTTTATAATAAGAAGAGTGTCTAAATGTTGTATGTCGTGTGCAGACAGAATGAATCCAGAACAAATTGTTGGCCATAAATCAAATGTAACCCAGTGATTCCTTAAACATGCTTGAGATACTAGTGGATCGAGTTACTTGGGCTGCAGAAGCAAAGCTTACTTAATCCTTGTACTGGACAGTCTTGTATGTCATTAAACAGCCCCGAGTCTATCGTTTCTGGCTAGGTTATTCCGGATGTATAAGGAAATAAAAAGTTGGATGAATCATAAATATAAAGGCTGAGATTTGTTACAGTAAAGGTAATTCTTATTCTCACCGAAGGATAAACTTTACAAATGCTGTGTTGACCTGAGGACAAGGTTCAGATCCCTCAATGGGATTCCACATGCATAAAGGTACCTTACACGTTAAAGTATATGGCCACCCAAATTTTCATACTCTACGCCAGTTTGTTAAAACACCTAGAGGCCCCGGAGAACAGATCTTTCTCTATGGAACCCAGATCCAACTATATACTACATATATTTTTTTTTTTATTTAGAGAGAGAGATCTTCTTCAGTTCTATCATATCCACCAAAGACAGACAAATTCTGGGGAATCTGCCTCTAATTTTTAACAATGAGGCCCAAACATTTTTTGATCAGACCTTTAAATAAGGTTGGCCAAACATGCATGGCCAGCTCTGGATGTACCTCAAGCCAACTCACACAGGCAACAGCAGATGTGGTCATATATTGATGTATACACTGTTGACTGGATCTACCATTGCAGTATTCCAAAATCCTACAGATATCTAATGAACTTGGAATTATCTATACCCCATGAATGGCATCACCCTTAGTTGACCCATAGTCAGTGAATGTGTGGGCAATATTTTTTACAGTGAGATACAAATTTTGAGCAAATTTTAGCTTCATGTTAAGTGCTCAAGTCAGACTTCAAGATTTACAAGTGAAATTGAACATCTGCCAAAATCCTTTTCTAGTTTTAGGTAGAATGGGTAAAAGTTACAATCTCTGTGAAGTTTTTATTGCTCTATGTAATGCCACTTGGGAGATTTATTCTCACATTTTGTCCTGGTGATCTATCGAGACCATAAACACCTTCATCTACCAACTTGGCCAATCAGACACTGAATGCCCATGAGAAAATGAAAGGCAGATGCTATGTATGACTTATTTGCCTTGACCCTTTGGGGTTAAATTACTAAAGGTCAAGTAGGCCGTTCACTTTGCAAGGGGATTTTTCCTTAGCTTAGTGAAGGTGATTAAAATTCCCTTTGCAAAGAGTACCCAATCACATGCCAGGAAAAGAAATAATACAGTATTTTTGCTCGTACATGATTGGGTGACAGTCAGCAGAGCTTCACTCATTCACCAAGCTAACGGAAAATTCCCTTGCAAGAGGAACAGGCCATTTGCCTTTAGTAAATCAGCCCCATTGACTTTACTCTGTTTTGTTCTGCATGCATTTAATGGGATTAAGCTATTGACCAATTAAAAGAAAATGTGCTAATTTTAATAATGTTTGGACCCTGGGAATTTACTGTAGCATTCTAAAAAAGGATTTAATACTATAAGAAAAAAAAAAAAAAAAAAAAAAGCAAAAAAAAAAAAGAGGGGATTTTGCTCTTTCCAGTTTTAG